CAACTCCAACCATCCAAGAATCTTGGCACTCCACGGATTCCTGTTGGGATTCCAACGCCATTCACGGACATCAACTCCACCGTCACATGCAGCCTACCCAATGGTCCCGACGCGTCGGGATCGCAGGCTTGCCGACTTTTGAGGTATTCCCTTGGTTACTTGCGTACCATGGGACGGCGGACTTCACTGCCAGAACACTCAGTCACGGCAAGTTTTGCGGGCTCATTCCTACCAGGAGTGTTGCCGAGTCAGTTTTCACCACACACACCTCCTTCAGGAGATTCGCGATAAGCGGCTGGACTTAGACGCTATCGCCGAGGCCATGCACACCAAGGCCGGTACCACCACCCCCAGCAAAACCACACAAGCACGAGCATTCCACTCTCCCCTCATCACACTTTTGACAGACCAAATGCAGGCCCACTCTCCTGCCGTTGCCGAAGGCTCAGCCATCCGAGCGCTCAAAGCCACCTCCGATGATCTTGCCCGCGCCCGGGAGAAACTCCAGGCACATGGATTGGAACTTACCCCCAAGAAAGACAGCGGCCGTCCAAGCGCTCCCTCTGCTCCAGCCGACCCTCCTGCACCCCACCAACCACCAGCACTTCCTGATGTGCTCCAACCGTCCTACCCCACCCTCAAGGACGACGCCCCTGAAGCATGGACCGCACCCTCCATCCAACAATGGACGCGGACCTTTGAGCCCAAAATCCAAGAAGCCGCTCAGGAAATCTTGCGTCTACTCCAGACTAGCAAAGTTTCCACTGACCAGCTCAAGGAGATACGGGCTCCCACTGGTTCGGGTGAATAAGCTCTCGATCAAGAGCCTCCAACACATCGTCAGTGTGGGGGCTGCCATCGCATGCTGACTAGCCTTGACCAGCCAACACCAGCCGCACCACAATCAACTCCACCAACTCTTTCGTTTACACCAAGCCCTTTCCACTCTCATCCATTACAGCCAATATATTGAACGTGCCGAGGCCCTCTTTGCTGTGGGCCTCATCCACCTCACACTTCTTTTTTGCTACCCTTCTTCTACCCAACGTTCCCGGCAATGGCGTCAACGACTTCAACACCTCCGAATCCAACCTCACACTTACCACTACCACAACTTTCTCTCATCCAATGCAGTGTATGTCAAACTCTACTTCAACCCCACGACCCCACAACGATGCTACCATCAGCACGGCCACTTTTACATTGGCTCTACTGGCATCGGCATCCCACACAGAGATCACAACCGTCGGGCAAAATTAAAACAACTGCAGAACAACGTTCCAATTTCCGCAGAACTTTCCCTTCGCTACTGGCACTCCCACAACAACATCCACCAATTTACACCCATTCAGCTTTCTTCACATGACACATACGATCAAGCTTGGATCCAAGAACACTACCTTATTTCCAACTGGATGCCGCCACTCAATTGGCCTTTCATCTCCCACCACCTCAAGCTCAAAGCTCAAGGTTGGCAGTTCACAAAACACCGAGCCCACTTCTACTCCCGCCTGGCAACTCACAAGCGACTTTTCCGAAAGCTCCGCAGACGGCAGCATGCCATTCATGAACCACATCTCTTTACCTCCACTCGACTACACTCCCTCACTCTTATTCGCAACCTCACCAAACACACACGGGCATCCTTTGAAGCAGCCAAACAATTACGTAGCGGCAAGCACACTGACCTGGAAGTCTACGCCATCCGACGAATGGCATCCAACTTGGAAGAGCCTGGCCGCAGCAGAGCGCTCCACATCATCAACCAAGCCCTCCAGTACCGCAACCTCAGCCCACCCAAGCCCAACATCCCTCTCACCGTACCATTCTTGGCCCACGAGCAGTTTCCCAAACACTGTGAGCAGTGGCTGAAAACCACAATACAGCACCACAAGCACCTGGCCATCCCGCTCCACCTGCCTACTCACCGTTTGCGGGAAGCAGCCCACAAGACTCTTCGGGCCCATCTACACAACCACCGCACCTGGGAGGGTACGCTTTCAAACCCTCCGACCTCCAGTGACCTGCCATGCGCATGCGCCCACCTCAAAACCATTCTCCTTGATCCAGACACACCCACAATCGGCAACCACTACATCCTCACCCTTGAACAACTCGCACTACCACCACACCTCCGCATATTCTTGGCAGCCAACATGAACAGCACCTTTTACCCCAGCAAAGCCAGGTACTTCCTTGCATTCCAGACGGCCTTCACAAAATGGCTGCGCATTCAAGGCCTTCCACCTTCTCTTACACAGCATTTGGAACCCTTCCTCCAGCACCAATGGCGGCTCCATACTGACCATTTGAAACACCAACCCCGATTCACAGCCCGCCTTCTCCGGCAACTCCAGGAATTCCTGGGTGACCAAGTCGTCCTTCACCATGCTGATCACGAACTGCAGCAGTTACGCATCTTCTGCCCCCGCCAATACTTCACCGGGGCGCTGGCTACTTGGCAGTCGCCGGAACTCTTTGCTCCCATGCCAACACTCCAATTGTCCAACATTCACGAACACCTGACACACACTATCCCCTCCAGCCTCCGCACACGCTACAAATGGGGCTTTAGAAAAGACTTCACAATTCCCTACGGCATTGTACACCTCAAGCCGATCACGGCGTATTGTGTGTGGCACCCCCTGGCTCTAAGGGCTTTCCCCACCTTCACCACTTTTCCACAGGCAGGGGGCATGGCAGCTGTTTCCCTAGCCATGCCAACGAAGCTATGGGATTCAGCCGGAAGGGAATGTGGACGCACATTCCTGTACCTGCAACGTGAACTTTTGGTCAAGCTGTCCACTACCGCTTTTTTGTTTCCATGGTAGTTCATGCTTCCTCCCCTAAACCCACTTTCCTGCAGCTGAGCTTGTCACCGCACTGATTGTACAGATCGATTTCGAGGCCATTCGGAAACATTTTTTAAACAATACTGTTTTGCCGACTTATGCACCTTTCCGTTCCCTCACCTTCCTTCCCATCGTGGCAATTGAGTCTAACTGAAAACCCAAGTTCGAAGTGTGTCTGTCCAGCGGGTGAACCAACAATCCATGGCCAAAGATTGCTTGGAGCGTGAGCTAGACTGTATAACTGATTGGCAGGAAACACAAATCCGAATGAAGGATTTGAAGAGTTCTGATCACTCTGACACCCACAACCGCATGGCTGCCAACAGCAAGTCGGTCCACATCAAGGCTGGCAGCAGCTTTGTCAACATCGGGACGGTTAAAAAACAAGTTGCTCCTCTGGATTTACGACAATCCTCGTGCAAATGCGTGTTTGATCAAAGGACCCGTTTTTTCAAGTGATGCTGCCACATCCTTGGTGCCGAATGTCAACAATGGCATCACAAGGGATTGTCCTGGCAAATTTACCTGAGAGCGCTGAGCAACAGCTACTGGAGCAAGAAGCAACAAGTGCAAATGTGCAAAACGAATGAAAATTGTCCAATCATGCAGAGTGAGTTAAGCGATGTGTATACAAATTATGCACTCTCCATGCCGTGCCACCAGCCGTACCCGCCATAGCCGCCGTAGCCACCACCTTTTCCCTTCATTCCCTTGCCATAAGGGCCCATCATTCCTTCCACATGCAAGATCTCTCAACGCACGCAGACTTGGCAATTTCTTTGCATGGTGAAAAACTGTGTAGGTCCTCCTCCTCCTCCTCCCCCCTGCCATCATGCCGCCCTTCAGGCCGCCCATCATACCCATTGCACCTCGAAGTAAAAGGCTACGACGGCTACGACGGCTACGACTACAAAGCGCGACCACAAAGTAATGCAAAAGGGTAAACCACTGAAAGGGTGCATATTGCGACAGGACACCCATGCCACATCCCATGCCTGTCAAGCGAAGACTGTCCAAGCCCAAGCGGTTTCATACTCAAGCCCTATCAACAAAAACAAATCATGCGTCACCGCGATCAGATGCGATCAGAATGCACTACATGAAAGATCGGTCGGCGCACCTCCCATCATCCCCATGCCCATGCCACCATAGCCCTTGCCCATTCCACCTCGAATTGGATAGTGGCATTTCCCCTCTGAAAGAAGCGAAACAAAACGTCAGCCCACGTCACTTCTGCACAACACCTATCTATCGTCTATTGTCATCTATTGGGCTCAATACACGTTATACAAAAGTGGCACAAAATGGTAATTCGATGTATTCTGGGTAAAAATACACGTCCAAGGATCCCATGCCAGGCTGGCTCATTGGAGCCGTGCCACCCGTGACATTCTTGGCCTGGTACCTCGGCACCGGCGAGCCGTATCGTCGAGGTACATGCTGCTCACCACGTGAGCGGATTCGAAAACCGCTATTACTCTTTTGTATAATCCAGGTTTGCTTTCGCAGGGGCTTTCGCGGCGGCTTTCGCGACGATTCGTTTTCGATTGGGAAATTCGATTGGGATATATTGGGATAATGTAAGTTTCCTTTGGGTCACTGTCCGGGCTTCGTTGGGCTCGGCTCCATGTCAAACTTCACGACATCGCCCGCGTTCGGTAGCGTGCCTGGTGGTGTAAAGCAGTGAACAAAATGTTTGGAAGCTGTTGAAGCTGCTTGGAGCCCCGCCTACGCAGCCCTTCATGTGGACAAAGATCTGAACACAGGAAGTGATCAAAAAGATTGGAGGGTGAGCTGGCATGCAGGATGCATTAGGGATTGAACACCGTTGACAAGCACCGCCAAAAGCTTGCAAATCACTGATGTCAAATCCCAAAGCTTACATTGGAATCACTGAGAGAGAGAGAGAGAGAGATATATATATATATATAACACCTGCGTCATGAGCCAAGGCACGTCTTCCATGCCATCTGCTTGAATGAAGCCAAAACCCTTCTGGGCCTCGGAAGTGACTCAAGCATGACCTGCGTTGGTACATCTTGTCGGAGGTCACAGGTTGTCAGGGTCTAGCAAGCAGAGCAAGCCAGTCGTACTATAAGCAGTCGTGCCACAAGTGTTCTAGGCCCTAGGCATGTCAGCCTAGCCATCCTAGTAACATTCACATGGCTCCCGGGCATTGAAGGACTTCACAGTGCCTCGGTTGGCCAATTCTGTCGAAGTATGCTACTTGAGATGCAAATGAGAATGTGAACGAGAAGAACCCTTGCCCAGCCTGTGTACGCACCAGTGCCCTCCACTGGAGTGACCTGCGGCTACGGGCCAACTAGAATCATGTGGGGCTCTGGTGTTTATTTTTGACGACAGTACAGTATATAAGCCGTTAGGCATGCTTCCTTACCGCTTCCCCATGTCCTGCCTTGCCCATCATGGCATCTTGGGTTCTTGGGGCTGAGCCTCCGCTTACATTCTTCGCCTGGAAAGACTTTGTCCCTATTTGTGGTTCTGCAGTTCTATGCTTCAATTCAAGGTATTCAAGGTAGGGCCATTCCAAGAGATGCAGACACATCTGGCACCTTATACTTTCCAGGTGCTGACTCCTCCAAGTCAAATGTTAACCTTGGCTCCATCCATCCCTATGCCCTATGCCCTATGTCGGAAACTGCACGCAAATTGCCGCTCCAGGTTTCAGCACTAGTTGCAAGTCTTGCCACAGCTGTTTCCGGCACTCATCTTCTTACCCGCAGCTGGTCACAATGCAGCTTGAGAACGCATCACCTGGAGCTGGCTGACCTCCGACGCAATCCTTGATGTGGACAAACACATCCTGCCAAGCGAAATGGATCAGGTGCGGTGGCAGTTTGAATTGAAGGCATGTTTCCTATTATGCCGTCCTGACCGCCATAGTCAATGAACCCCCCAGCCCTTCATGCCTCGGAAAACAAGAGCAACGGCTACAATTGTATAACATGACAGAATCGTGAAGTTGAACTCCCGCCCACAGAGTATCAGCCAAAATGCCGTTGAAGGACTTGCATGGGCCTGACAGGGTCGATAATGTGTGCTCCTTTGTGCAAATGAATAGTTTTTTAGGGAATTCAAGCGGGTGGGCATCTGTCAAAAACTTCGGAAAAAGAAACGTCGCTTCTGCTCGAGCAGGAGGGGACTTTGTGCCGAGCAGCCGGAAACGGACATTGTGCGATTCGGAAGCTGCGAGAATGGGACGGAGAGGTCACTTTGGGCCAAAATCGCTGCGACAAATCGCACTGCAACATGTCATCTGCATATGTTCTTGCTTGCTTAACCAGCCGACAGGGAGGGAAGTTGGATTAAGGCAAGCTCAGGCTCTCAGAGACTGAAAGCATCTAGCATCTAATAAAAGCAACCATGGGCTCTGGGACTTCAGGCTGATAAACAAGCGAGAGCTTTTCATAGTTCAACGAAGCTTCTGCCTGGTGGGGTTCTTGTAGAACACTGTTGAAACAACCTCAATGCAAGGACAAACCATGGCACAACCTCACATCCATCTGCTATCACACTCTCGAAGGAAAAAACAAAAACTTGCTTCGTGAGGTCGTGGCAGGCTATTCTGTTCGTCAGAAAACGGCGGAACTGGCTTCTTGCACAAAACGGACGGCCATGAATTGTAGGTTCATCTGCTGAGGCAGACTCTAGATCTCAAGCTGTTGGAGAAAAATTGCGTCACATCTAGCAAATGCTTGCTGGTTGCATGTGTGGCTTTGATAAGAAAAGCCTCGAGTTGGAAATCCAGCAGCTAGCTGCTGACACATGCACAATAAAATACTTATGTAAAAAGCGGGGGCATTGTTTTGACGCGGTGATACTGGAATGCTCACGGAACTGCACCTAGCACCAGTGCTTAGCACATGGCTCTACAGTTTGGGGCTGGACTCTACAAGCCCGAAGCTACGGTGGGGTGTGCCCATCTGCCCCCTCGTTCAGTGCGTGGAACGGAATTCCTATGTTCCATGCGGGCACGTACCGGGCCATTCCTGTGTAGCCATGGTAAATCCAAATTTGGTGCCGCTCTCCTCAGGGAAGGACTTACCTTGGCACCTCTGTCATGGCTTTCGGCTCCTACACGACTAGCATCTGGGCTAGATGATGGTCCTGACTGTGGCCCTGTAGTTGGCGCCTCGTCAGGCTTCCTGGGAGCATAGGACCGAGGCTGCGATATTATCCCTGGTCCGTGGCTCCTGGGTGTCTCTGGTCGAATCGACCTGGCTGTTTCGGGTCGAATCGACCTGGCTGTTTCGGGTCGGATGCTCCTGGCTGTTTCGGGTCGTGTTGGGCCGGAGGGGGAGAGCTGGCATGGGCCACCGCCACGAGGGCCACGAGCACTGAGTGCCTCCATGACACGTGCTACGTGGCCAGGTGCGGCTCCAGGGGCACGAGCGCTCAGTGGGCGCTTCACTTCACTCTTGCCCAGAGGAAGCTGCCTCACGATGTTGGCAGGGTTTGCCGAAACTGGGCGTCTGCGGATGAACACTTTCTCAGAAGAACAAGAGGAACTTGGAGATTCTTCACGCTTGGAAGGCACTGAGAAACGAAGCTCGGTTCTGTGGCTTACCCAGTCATGGGAACACACATTGCATGTACCGGGATCGTGGTATGTCTGGCAAGTACATCCAGCCACCTTGCATGCAAAAAAGGCCTTGGCGCTGTGGTCAACACTGCTGTGGCCACAGGTGCAAGTGGAGTGAGGCCGGACATAATTGAATCGGACGCATAAGCATGAAGACTTTTGGCATCTTTCCCAACCATCCTGGGATGGAGTTTCCAGAGACTTGTGCTCACTGAGTGGGTGCCCACAAAAGCACAGAGAGTGAGGTCCTGGCTGGATGCATGGAATCACCCGGTCTTTGCGGGCACCTGGAGAGTATCCTCCCATGGCAGCCATCTCACAGACGTGGCACGCCCACACTACAAGACGAGGAGGCTCAGAGGGTTCAACTGGAATTACGCGCTCCACGTTTTTGCACCATCTGGCTCTACGTTTCTGCCTAGTAGAGAGCTCCGGCTGGTCAAAGCCCGGTTTGGGCTGCTGTGGGGGAGTGGGAACAAAGAAAGTGCTGCTTCTGAGCCTCTCCAGAAGGAGATTCTTGGCTGATGTGATGTCACGAAAGCGTTGCTTGGCATCCTCTTCACTCTTCCCACTCTTGTGTAGGTGCTTGTCGGGGTGGCACAGCAGGGCCATGCGCCGGTATGCACGGCGGACGGCTGCAGCATTGTACGCTTCGGCTTCAGCAAGGCCCAGCACATCTCGAGCGCCGGATTCATCCATATCTCAAAGGCCATTGCGATCCAAGGGTTTTCCGTTTTCAGAGTCTGCTTAGTCTGGTTTTCCAATGGCTTTCCTTGGCCACTTGTTCTTGAATTTTACACAAAGGCATATGTTCTCAGAGAGTGACATGAACAGTCTGGCGTTGACTGGCTCTGGGAAGGACTGAAATATAATAGTGTTTTCTGGGTGGTGAAGTCCCATAATCCAGCTTGAGCCTGCTCTAAAGCAGCCCCACAAGGCAGACTGACCGAATCCCTGATGCAAAACGGTGCGTCATTGTGGGCACTGCCCAAGGAATCAGTTGGTTCTTGTTTTCCGCTTCCCTGACAGGGTTCACGGCCGAGGCTGCTATCGCGGACCCACGTGCTTGCGGATCACTTCAGCTGCAGCCTACAACAAAGAGCTGGGACTCCAGGATGTCAAAGGCACCTTTTAAACTTGATTGGCCTTGCAGTTGCGGTTCAAAGCCACATCCAATGCCGTCTTGTCTTCAAAAGCAAAGCTCCAAGCCTTAAACATTGTGAAATCACACAGTTCCCGTAAACCAGTCATGGCTGGCAGTTGAGTGAGACGACGACTCTTCGGTTGCCCTCTACAAACTCCGGATGGGATAAAATCTTCTCGCAAACCTCGGCTAAGTCCTGCCAAATGGGAAGGAAACCGATGCAAGAAGCCATCCAAAGCATGCCCCAACGGGCATGTGTATGTGTTTTTGTATATATATACAAAGACTCCAGCACTCCCCACCTGGTCCGCTGCCCAATGAAGCGCCGTGGCACCCCACTTGTCCTGGGCATTGATACCTGGACCGCTTGAACTTCGCCAACGAGAGCAACAGGCTATGCTCGCAGGGCCGAGAGTATTAGAATTCTAATTATATAAATTCTTATTTTTACTAGTAGTAAGGCACTTGCTTCTAATAGCTTCTTTGTTACTACTAGTAAGGCACCTGTTACTACTAGCGTGGCAGTTGTTACTAGTAGCTTCCTACCCCCCTCCCCTATGCTCGCAGGGACGAGAGTTTCCAAAAGGGCTGCGCCAAGGCCTACGAAGTCATCCCTGTCAAGGATGGCTTTGCACACCTGCGGCACAGCCCAAAGGCATCAAGATCAACAAGTAACAAGCCTATCCCAACATCACATTGCCACCAGGTACCACGCAGCCTGGGACATGCCCTTGGAGGCGGCAAGAATCAGCTGCGTGTAGCCAAACCTTGGCCATCGCCAATGTCAACAATGCAAATGAAAAGACCTGATACATCTGCATCTGTCCCTGGGCCAATGCTCGGGCGAGGATGGGAACGAGAGCAAAAACCAGGCGAAAAGAAGCAAGAGGCAATGAAAAATGTGCTGAACCGGGGCATGCCAGGACCAATTTCCCAGCTTGTGAAGAACTCATACCAACTGCTGTCCCCTACTGTCATCATGCAGAATCAATAGCACGGGTGTGATTCAAAATGTTCCGCAGCAAGTAAGCAAAGGCCAATCAAAGTTAGACAGAGAAAGCTGTTGCCAAGAGACGTGTCCACTGCATTCACCTCATTGAAGTCTTTGTGCTTGGCAATGGCCCTGAGGAGCGCAAAACTGTCCCGGCGTGCCGTAATTGTCGCTATTGTTATTGTCACTATTGAACGCACAAAAGCATCGTTTCTTGAAGATGTTTGTGTCTGGGAGATTCTCTTTGTAGACCACCTGACCACCTGCAAGCTACCGCTTGTCTTTCTTGTCTTTAGCTTCGGGGCCAGTGTTCGCTTCTTTCTGTTGTTGGCCTCGGCCTCGGCCTTCTGCCCGTCTCTTAAACAATCGCCTCTAATGCTGCGTGTTGTTTTGACAACCTTGGCTGGTTGCGCTCCTAGGTCCTAAGCGGTTTCATTGGTGCAGGCTGTGACTATTCCTTTCAGATCTTGCAAGCATTGCAAGCTTTCTCCCTTGCTCTGTCTGCTGCCATTCGGACCCACAAGCTCGGTAAAACGTGCGTGAGAAGTAATCCTGGCAGGTCTACGTCAAGCTCTCATCGGTTGGCAGAAGTGCGGCTGCCTGAACATTACGGGCAAAAACAAGTTACAAGAGTTTTATCAAGCAAAACAGGCACAAGCCAAGAACCGCAGCGGCTCAAACTAACCAGTGACGGCAATTACTATACAATCAAGAATAGGATGTCGCCTAGCGCCTAGCGGACTGCAGAGGAACCTGTATCTCTGGCTTGCCTACCTCTAAGGCTTCGGATCTGCGATCCCAGAAACTGAATGCCGATTGTGACGAATGTAATGTCCGCGAGCACGATGGCTTGCTTGCGGGCTGAGTTGAAGGCAAGCAAAGGTCCTCTGGAAGTTTCTTCAGCATCACCTGGTTAAATGCTCCCCCTTTAGTCACGGCATTCTATAACAGTGTCAAACCTCCAAACCCCAGTGTCACTGCTCAGCTTCCGACCAGGTGCAGTGCCGTCCTGCCTTCCTTCAAGGAGCTTAGGGCAAACGGTGCTCTGTGGTGAAACGACTTGGAGCATCAAAGCGTCCTTGGTTTTCTGGTTCACGTGGCGGAAGTTGGGGTGCTGGACCTGAACACTGGGCATGCGACATGCCTAGTCCCAGTCCCCTCTCCAAAGGGCCGTTAAGGTGCGGGCAAGCGCTCGACACCGCCCCTCATCGCGAGCCTCAGCTGCCTTCATGGGGAAAGCTGGCTGCGGCAGTCACACAGTTTGAAGTTTGAACATGCTCTTTAAACATGGGGCAGTATGTGGGGTCAAAGCCTATAGAACCTGCAGCACGCCAGCCTCCAGCAAAGCATATGAATTTGCCACGTCCTCTTCTCGGAGTGCTGGTAAAGGAGCCTTGGAACAGGAAACCTGCATGCAACTCATGCAGGACTCGTGCATCTCATTGAGGCACATGGCAGGCACTGCTTTTGGTCGAGGCCTTCTTCCAATCACGCCAGGTGGGTTCCTTCAGAAATCAGCAGTGCTCAGCATCCCGTGCATCCTACTGTCCCAGCATGCTTTGCCTGGGCGGCCGTGGACCCAAAAGCCTCAGCACAACGTAGTGTCTTGACAATACATCTGGAACTGCAAATGTAAACGTGTCGCGCGCTTTTGCTTCGTCACTTTATCCACCGGCTTTATTTCGATGATCATTGCTCCGAGCAATTTTGCTCCTGCATGACTGGGGCAGTTTCCCCCAGCTCAACTAACCACTATGTTTCAGTACCACATCAGGCCATAGCTGCCATAGCTTGCCAGTTCAACTTGCCAGCAAAATGCTTTGAAGTTGCTGCCACTCCTGCCGTAAACAACAACAGTTGACACTCAGCATGCTTGATGCCATCCATTGCACCACACCGCCCACTCCGACAGAGTCTGAGTGCCTCAGCTGTGGGCTTACCACCTTTGCGCATGATACGCCCTCGGCGTTCCGCATCTGGGCTGCCGAGTGTTGGGTTCACCCGGGCCAAGTTGTTGAGGTTGCCTTGGCTCTGACCGTGGGCAGTATGTAAGCAGCGCATTTTAACAAAAAAATGATTAGGGACTAGGGACTCCTAGGGACCTAAGAAGAGTTAGAAAAAAAGAAGGTGCTTGGGGCACCGTCTTTTTTTAATCTGTTTTCCTCTCCTTTAGTGCGACTAGATACATATAGACTCGGCATAAAGGCTCTACAAAATCAAAAACTGCAGGATGGGCACCGTTGTCGGTGACCGTGGGCAAATCTGGATCTGCCATCCTCATGCAGTCTTCACGCAATAGGTGGATGACTCTGAAGTGTGATACATTTTAGATCTCTGAGCAAACGAATTCTCTGACAAGGTGACAAGGGGCCACTCACCATCCACGATGAATTTGTACTGATAAACACCCGGCGGCGTCTCCCGATCCAGCACAAACTCTCCGGTGGTTGAATCCTTGACCTCACAAATTACGTCTCCTAGTAGCGTCCTTGTTCCTAGTAGTAAGGCCAGGAGCCCCTAGTAGCGTCCTTGCTCCTAGTAGAAATGCCAGGAGCCCCTAGTAGGATCCTTGTGTAGTAGTAAGGCCAGGAGCCCCTAGTAGCGTCCTTGTTCCTAGTAGTAAGGCCAAGCGCTCCTAGTAGCGTACTTGCTCCTAGCAGCAATGCCAGGAGCCCCTAGTATCGTCCTTGTTCCTAGTAGTAAGGACAAGAGCCCCTAGTAGCGTCCTTGCTCCTAGTAGCGATGCCAGGAGCCCCCAGTAGCGTCCTTTTTGTGCTGCAAAAATGCAAAATGCAAAAAAGGCAGCCCGCCACGCGCAGTTCGAACTGCTTATTCTGAACTTTGATACTCAGTCCGGCACCAAAGGAATCCGCTCGTGCCAGCCGACATCTAGACCAGCAATCTCAACCTTTTTTGCCTTGAGAGACATCGACTGAATAACCAAGCACAATCCAGGGATTCCGTCAAAGGCATGCCCGGACAGCACTGCAAACCTGTCGGTCATGCACGCCTCAGGCCTTTTGATGGAGATGGTCAAGCGTCCAGATCCCATGCTGCCCGACAAAAGGTCCTTGGTGGAATACTTTGTCCCCTTCCGCAAGGTCAACAGCTCACGCCGAAAGTCCAAGAACCAGTAGGATCTAGGCACCTCACACACACTGCCGCCCGGACCATCTGCAGCTGAGGGTGGCATCTGCGCACCTGGTACCTGTGCAAGCTTCTTCAGCAACTGTTGGCACAGGGCACTGCTGCACCCAGACTCGGTTACTTCCAGCTTGTGCTGCAACTGAGAAGCAACTGGCGATATGCTTCGTCCAAATCCATACCCTCTATCATGAACCTGGCCGATCCATGACAAGTGCTCCTTCAAACCTGTTTGTTGCTGACCTTCTTTCTACTTTTCAAGTGTGATGCTCTACGCACTTGAGAAATGAGGCTCAGATATACCGTATAAGCTCAGAAAGCTTGAATATGGGCACATACATCTGGGGATGAGAGACGCTTATATAGATGGCACACTATGATGTGCAACAAGCTTATGACTTAAAGGACGAGCCCCGAAGACCCAAGTCTCAAGAGGCGGGGTTAATAGAGATGCCGAGGTTCAAATCTGACCACACCCGTGCGCAAGTGTCAGATGTGTATCTTCACGTTGCTTTAACTCTATGCGTGTCATGCTTGGCCCTTGAAACATTGTGCAGGTAGACACACAAGATAAATGAGCATAGACAGACCTTGCCGACCTGTAGACAAAAGACACAGGTCAATAAGCAATTGGACCAAAAATATGTAGAGAGACAGAGAGATAAGCACGAATGTGTGCTTTTATGTGCACATACATATGCACCCAGTAATAAGTAGAATAGCTGCCAGCAAGGCGCATATAGGCCAAGGCTGTGGCAGGAGCTCTGCCCAAGCCGGCCGTGCAATGTATGTACACCAAGGCCTGTGAAGCAACGGAAAAGTAGTGGCCAAATACTTCAACAAATCATCATGAGAAGGAATCCTCAAGCCTGAATTCAACTGATGGTTTGACCGATGCAATTTTTGGACATGAAACCTCGGGTCTGGCCGCCATTTCAGTAGCCAGGCATCGAACAGCATCAGGCACCTGCCTGCGACGGCTTTGTCAAACACATGTCACTGTCCAAGTCACTCTCCACGTGCCTGCGAAGAGAAAGAGGATCAAAGTCTCTGATAGGATGCCTCTGCCAGGTTTCTCTTGACAATCTGATGTCTGAAACACCATTTGCTCGGTTTACTCCGGATGAATGCCTTACGTGCTTGACATCCAGCTCAGCAGCACGGGCTAGAATAGGCGCCAAATCGAGTTTGAAATGGGCCATGTCCTTGATCAAATCCAGCACCCCTCCCAACTGCCTTCAAACTGCACACTCTACCAAGTGTTCACGGTCCTTGTCCTCCTGTAGGCAAAAAACAACTCCAACACCTTCACTCTTGAGCCTGACACATTGAGTCATTGTGCGGGCAGACCTGTGCTTTGTTCTGTTTTGGTCTCATCCTGCCAACATCATTTCCTTAGGGCTGTGGGGCCTGATCTCGCTGCACACCCCGAAGGAAATTACACCGGCATAGGCCCCAGATAGCGGGTGTATAGGCGTAAAGGACGCCCGCAGCACGCAACATCAGACCGTCCACCAATATGCGCAACATCTATCAGCTGAATGCGCCTGCTTTGCCCAACGCAGACCAAAAATTGCAAGATCGGCAAGGACCAGCCAAAGCTGTTCACGCGACATGATGGTCATTGCTGCACAACACGGTGTCACGCACAATATGACCGCATGTCACCCCTGGCATGACATGATGTCACCCCTGGCGTGACATGAAGGCATCCCTGCACCAGCACCAGCACGGCAGCAGCACATGCAAAGCCAAAACGCCGATCCAGAGCCAGCACAGCACCAGCACCAGCACCAGCGCGGCAGCAGAACCCGCAAAATGAAAACGCCGATCCAGAGCCACACCATTGAGAAGGTTCCAACTCCCTATAGCCTGCAGTTCTCTGAGGAAACCCTGGAGCACATTGACTTGCATTGAACGGTTCCCGAAAAAAAACATTACAAGTGGTTTGCCGGAACGTTGCCTCTTTCAGTCCACACCTGTGAAATGAGAACTTTACCCTTGGTTTTAGCCCTCCTTTCTCAGCTGGTGATGGTTACTTGCATGTTTTCGCTGGAAAGTGTCTCTCCTTTTCGACCTGCAAGCTCTTCCAGCATTCAACACAACAGCCCAGGCTCCTTAGTTTTGTCAAGCCACGTATCTACATCTGCAGGGGATTGCAGGCAAGATCCAACTATTATTCGCTCGAAGCACTTGGCAAAGTTCATTCCATCCTGCACTCTCGTTTCACGTCCAGAGTCCAAATCCCCATCCACGTTCTCAACAAAGCAGTACTTCAACAAGGCACCATCCTCGTGTTTGTAAATAAGGCTGCTTCCCATTTGCTTCTTCCTTAGCTACGCATTCCAACTTAGGATTAGTCTCGGCATAGGCATTCAATGAAATTCAATCCAAGCATCATCGTCTCAGAGTATTTGGCTGATGTTTCCGCGGCATCTTTTGCATCAGCTGCCATGTTGCTAAGATAAGCCAGCCGCAATCAGGAAAGAAGAGAACAACAGAAATGATTTAAAGTGCCATCCAGGCAGCCAAGCTCATGAGCACTGATTTTGTTGGTTGCTTGCTCGAATTCTTTTGGCAGATGGGCAGGGGCTGAGTGTGGCGAGAAATGTCATTGAAGCAAGTTGCGAGCTACCAAAGGCTGCAGCATTCTGATTCATACGCAAATAGAAGCTTACAGCTTACAACACAGGATAGCACACTACAGGTTCCCTACTAGGTTCCCTATCTCTCTCTCTCTCTCTCCCGCTCTCTCGCTCTCTCACGCGCGCTCTCTCGCTCTCGCTTCTGCTTCCCTGGACTTTATCCGCAAAGTCGGATTCGGTCAAATAGTCAATTGGTGCGAGCAGCTCCAGAGGCACGGCATCACCTGCATATTATATAGCAGCGCTTTCTCACAGCTCGTCCTCACAGTGCGTCTTGATAGTGACGTCGGATGTTGCATAAGTCACGCAAGTGAGGCAAAAGCCCTGGTCCATCTGATCATCATCCAAGAAAGCCTGATCACTCTGATCAATCTCTCCAAACAGCACTTTGCCAGCACAGCTGGAGCAAGAGCCGGCACGGCATGAGTAGGGAAGCTCGAGACCCTCCTCCTCAGCCTGGTCCAAGATGTACACGTCTTCTGGGCAATCAAAGGACTGAGTACCATCAGGAGTCTCCAATGTAACCTTGAAGTGCGCTGGCACGCCAGGGCGGGCTGGCACAGTGCTTACAATGGCAGGCACCTGACCTGCAACCAGCGCGGTGCCAGAAAGGGATCGGCAGCCTGGGTGCACACTTGTCTGCGTGCCGGCAAATGCCTCCTGACCACTCTGTGAGCGGAAGAGGAGAGCGCACAAGGCACAAAGCGCAAAGATTGCAAGAGTCGGGCTTCGAGCCATTGCACTACAGTAGCTTGGATTTGCACGCGCCTTGAAAGTTCGACTGGAGCTCTGAGCCAAAATGATCAGCGTCGGTTCTCATTGCTAGCCGCTAGCCTTTCATGCTGTGGACTGCGTGCAGCAGTAAACATCCCGATGAACTGAGCCCGCAACCCGCCAGAGTTTGGAGCCGGCCCAACACCTTGCATTGGACAGCAGGAGAACACCCACGCTCCAGGCCCCTTCTACTGTGAATGGCAGGGAAACAAGGATACAGCCGGAGAAGAAGGAAGACAAGAAAATATGGAAAAGAACGGAGCAGAATAAAGATGAAATGAAAGGGGTGAGAGAGAGAGAGAGGGGGGGGCTCAGGCGCAAAGAGCCACAAGGGGAACATCGGCGTTAGATTCGAAGAAGCTGCCTTTTCGGTTGCCACTGTTGGCCAGTCCTGCAAGGTTCAAATCCAAGCCCTGAAGACCTTGAAGATTCCCAGTCGCCTCACACGAGTACACTGATTTCCGAATTAAAACAGGCTTGAACATGACAAGGTGTTTTGGGCCACCTTTAGTAACATGTGGCCCCCTTTGAAGGGCCTGCCTATTCGCAAGCAATCTCAAAAACCTTCTTCAGGGAACGGGCACAACTCGCACGCTTACGCACCACTGCGCACCTGCGCTGGGGCAGAACTGAAGTTCCCCAAGGCTTCAGCAATTGCAGCCAGGGTCGCTGGGTCTAAGCCTTTACGGGTCGGTCTAGACAGGTCTCAGCCTTTCATGAAGAACAAGGTCTGGCCGCGCTCTCGCCTGGGATGGCTGACAACGCTGCGTTTGCATCAACCTGGACCGAGTTTGGAGCTCGTGATGCTGGTTGTATATGGAGAGAGAGACTCATCAAAATCAAAACTCTGGCCTGTGCTGCAATCCCTGCCACAGAAATGCAAGGGATCGCAAACCAAACAGGAGTACAGGAACGGCAAGCGTTCGTACGATCGACATAACTATCCTAGCACTAGCACTGAGATGGGTTGGCCGCACAGCCAAAGTACCAAGCCAGACCATTATACCTGAAGGCGCTGGGCGGTTCCTGCCTGCCCCACATGGATTGACTGAGGGCGCCTGCAAAAATCGCCAAACTTATATAGTTGAAGCTAGCACCTGACAATCACCAGGTCTATTTGATGCCGTTTTGCAAGAATGTGCAGGCACATGCCTTGCCATATGGAGCTGGGGGTGATGAAATACTGGCCTGGGTTGAAGGGCAGTTCGACTGGCCGATTTCGCGACAGAAACACATGAGGCATGAGCCGAGCGAAGCGCACCGTAGCCGGCACCTCCTGCGTCTGTGAATCTCGGTTGCCATGTGCCAAGGATTGCCCCTCCGCCGCTTCTGCCCGGTCCGCCCGGCCCCTCCCACCGGCGATCTGTGGTTGCAACAAGGCCACGGCCTGGCACAAAACACTGCTACAGCCGCAGCTCCACGAAGCCGAGGAATCCAGCCGCTGCATACTATACATGCATTCTGTGACTCTGTGCTCATCTTGGCCAGCCCACTGCAGCAATGGTTGCCGCGTCGGCAAGTGGGGCCTCGGCAAGTGGCATCATGCACTGGATCGCATTCGCCCTGATAATTCGTTGAAGCTTCAAAGGAATTGGAGGCTGAGGGCACTGCTGCTGGGGGGGTGTTGGGCCACTGCAGGCAAACTAGGCAGTGTCGGGGCTGCAGGCGCTGCTTGCCCAGTTAACCCCATTTGCGCCGGAGCCTGCAAACACGTCATGTGGCCAGGCATGGTAGCCCATTCTGAGTATCTGGGTAAACTGCCCTGAGGATGTGACCAAAGCCTGCAGGGCAGCAGCGTATGCGGCCCAATCTTGAGCCATCCTGGGAAACAATTGAGAACACCCCAGGCAAAAGGAATACCTTCCTTCAAGAGACATGAGCATGCGCGGCAAAGTCCAAGGTATGTGGAAATCGGAATAGTTGTCTTGGGCACTGCCACAAGGATCCAGTCCAAACACATGACTAGCACTATGGCTGTCTCAAGGCAATCTAGCTAAAACATCCACCAGTGAATCTACGCTGGCCGATAAAAAGAATATCCAAGAACCACGCCTCTTCTATCGGCTAAGGACCTCTGCTGGTGCTCCGCCCATCTGGACAACACGCAGTCGACCGAGTCATTGAGGTTCAAAACGCTGTGCTACAAGTGAATCGAAGGAATCGATGCTCTGACACGTGGTACTGTTGTAAGGCCATGCTTCTGCAAGTGCGCTGAGATCCTTTTGTTGGACACTCCGAAGCTCAACTCTCTGTCATGGTGGGGTGTTATAAACAGGACTCCGAACTCCTCTTAAATGCTGACCTGATACGCTCCGCTAGCTGTTCTATGAGCAAAAGGGGTGCACATTAGATTATGCAATTCAACCTCGACACTGCAGAAATCTTAAAGCCATGGACAGCGAGGTCCCAGAGCAAATTTCATTGCTTCAACTTGCTTCCAATTCAATCTCTTTTCCTCTTCCCCGAATCTCTTCGCGTCAAAGCTCGCCTTCTTTGAGCAGAACTTTGTCATCCCAAGCCATATCACATTTGGGCAAACTCTTTGGCTTCTCCTTCTTGATGGCTTGCTCAGTGGCAGTCCAAGCAACAAATGTACTGACAAACTCGTCTTGCGTCACGTTTCCATCTTCATTCAAATCAAAAAAGTCCACTTGCTGTTGCTTCAGCTTTGCACCTGTCTTGGAAAACATTTCTTGGGCCATTGTCTTGGCCTGTGCCAAATCCTTCGACACCTTGCCACCGGCCCACTTCACCATCCATTCCCAACAAGCGTTTAGATCACCAACTCTCCTGAGACGATTGTAGAACGTCCTGTAGTACCTCACAGGCACCGGAATATCAAACTGGGTAGTCAATGCTATGGTGCAGCCTTCAGCCGTATTGAGAGTTTCATGGATCCAGCCCGGTGGAAACAAAACTGCTTCACCCTCTTTGAGCGTAAATTCGAACATTGGCTTCCAGCCCAACTGATATGCAACTCCATCATCAAAAACGACTTCACCTTTTGGAGAGCGGCCAGCACCCTTTGGAAGTCGTGGGACTGGACCAATTCGCCACCGACGCTCTCCGTGAAGAACCACACTGAGGGTGCTGATGCAATGAGAATCCATGTGTGCTCTCGCTCCTGTGCCTTTGGCACCCATCCAGAATTCAGCATTGTCAAACAATGACGCCGCATTCTTCTTATCCATGAAGCTTGGGACCGAAGTTGTGATGAGGTCTCTGATGCGCTTCATGACTTTTTTGGATCCAAGGTTGCCCTGCTGATGCTCACGAACACCCCAATAAAACGGAGCAAAAGGAGGAGCAGAGGAGTCCTGCCGCAAACGTTCGTCGGCATCCTCACCCTGCTCCTGAGCTGAAGTCCAGCTCATCTTGCTGAAGTCTTGCAGGTTTTGGTCCTTCAAGGGATTGAAAGCGTCGGTGGAAGCAATTGAACTTGAACCCATTATGCATTTGAGTGATGCCCTCTCTCCTGTCTCTCTCTCTCTCTCTCCATGACTTTCCCTCTCTGTGTTTCTCCCGTTCTCTCTCCGGCTTTCTCAATGCCCGGTCTCAGGTCGGGTCAGTCCACAGATGGCATGTCTGTGTATGTATGCAATCACTACAAGGGAAATATAAATATGCGTCCATACTGCTGCCCGTGGCCTGAGGGTTCTTCACCCAGTCATACTCCCGACGCATTTTCGCATCAGGGAATTCTTGGGACAAGCGCTCGCAGCTCCAGCCCTCCAAAGCCATGCCGGCTGAAGCGTTTTCAAGGATGAGCACCTGCCCATGTCCGAACCAAGTTGGGTGAGTGTAAGAGGCGGTTGCAAGGTCATGCGAGGTGATGGACTCATTACATTTTCTTTTGGACGCCTTGCCAGATCTTGCAGCTTGCTCGAAGACCTCTGCGCTAACTGGCCAAGATAGTCGAGGAGGATCTTGGCCAGGTCTTCCTGCAATGCGAGTCCGTGGATTCTATCATCCCTACCTATTATATAAGGTAAAGGGTGGGGACCTATGTAAGTTATATACAATATCTGGGGGTGGCATGGAAAGTGAACCTTAAAAATGTAAGCTTACATGTGTCCAGGTAAAACGCTTAAAAAAAGGTAGGATACCTTCGTTCTTATGAGAAAACATGTAACTCACATTTGTTTTAGACCACCCTCAAAGACAGGAAAACAAGCTCCAATCCCCAGCCCCCTTTCCCAATCCCCAGCCTACAGCTGCTCACCTCCAAAAAAAATACAAGTTGCTTTGGTCAGGTGTCCTGGAAACTACAGAAATACAATAGCAGGGCCTAAGAAAGTTCAGTCATGTTCCTTTTGCATCCTTTTATACAGCCACTAAACCCAGGAAAATGTAAGCTGTCTTTGGGTTATTCGACCCCCCCCCAAAAAAAGTAAAATCATAGAAATACAATAGAAGGAGCCATGGGAAGCTTCCAAGACAGGGTGCCACCATGTTTTGGGCATCGTGTTCACAATGCGTCTTACATCGTCTTGCTTCCAGCCACCTCCTTCATTTCCTGGTGAATTCCCAGGAACACGCAAGCAACACCCAGCAAAAATCCCGGTGGGGGGGGGTGGCAATGAATATGGCCTCTACTTAATTAAGTAGGGTCAAAAACGAGGGGGGGTGGTCAACATACATTTATCGGGTCCCTCAAAAATTGTACGTTACATTTTTTAGGTCCCCCTCCAAAATTGGATATTCTATCCACATCTAAATCTCGAACATCAAAATCTAAATCTCTCAAATGCACTATGTCACTATGTCACCGTAATGCCCAAGTCTTCCAAGGTCCTCCGAAGTACTCCGTTTCTAACGTCTCGGGCAAGCACTCTGGACAAAGCTTTGGCAGTTCCAGAAGCACACTGTGCACTGGCAATAGCATCGAAAGAAACAGAGGAGCCTCCATAGTTTTGCAATGTTTTTACAGAAACCTGCGAGGTTGCTAGTGACTAGTGCTGAACTGATTATACACCCTCTGAAGACAACTGCACGAGCTGATTGAAACCTCCACCACTTAATGTCGAACAGCCTGCAAGTGTTGCTGTTGAAAAAATTCACCACCTATATATCATCTTAATTGCATTAGTGACTTTGTGGACTTCCAGTTGTCGAAGCGCATACACCTGCAGAGCCATCATCTTTTGCAAATCAGATGTCACACTGCCCATGACTGTCACCAGGAAAGCATTCCAAGCTCAGTAGCAGGACGCTACTAGTACTCAGGTCTATGGATGGGACTTCTCCGGCCGCTCACTATACAGCCACGCTCTTCGCTTCCAGGCTGCACAATCCAGAAGTTTGCTGCGTAATGTTGGGCAGTTTCACCCAATGTCACAAACTAGAGGATTTGTGAATCCTTGTTACAGGAACTCCTTCCCCAGACATCGCTTTGATGCAAATGCGGCGCTCTTCAGGAGGGGCGGCAGCACAATGCACCTCATCAACACCGCTGCGGCTAGTCATGATCGCTTAGTGCATCACATGGACTGGAGCGCACAACCACACATCTAGCGCTCAAATTGTCATACTGAGGAGTGAGGACCGCACATCTCCACAGGTGCCAGTTGGTATTGCATGTGCATGGGCATGCCACCATACGCATTATAGCCGCTGTTCCTTGGGTTGGCGATGTAGCTCTAGCAGAGGCACAATCATGTTCCACAACTCTCCATTAAGCAAAGTGCTGCTCATATGCGCCATAGGCACCTCATTCACATCCACTAAGACTCCCAGCTTTGCTGCGTCAAGGGACAGGAACTTCAGAACTTCACATAAGATCACCACCATTTTGGCCAACCACATGCTGCGCTTCCTCCGCTTGCTCCGGCTGCATTGGCGACTGGCACACAACACAACGGCAAAACACTGAATCAGCAATCTGGCTCAACGAAACACAAACGATTGGGTCGAAAGGTCTAATGTCACAATGACAGAATAAGGACAGTGATGATATATATATATAGATAAACATGCTGATTACAGAGTGCACTTAGGCGACGGAGCGTGCCGGAGCGCAGAAGTCCCAGCTCTTTCCACTGACACCTGAGAACCTGAGCAACTTCATGCTCAGTGGCACAGTGGTTGTCTACCTCTTCAACCCCTTAGACCAACTTTTGGGCAATTTGTTTCCCTTTTTTTGTCTTGCTTCTTCTTGATCATTTTGCCCGAAATCTGGCAAGTGACCAGCCACTTGGTAGAGCACCACCTGGGCCTGCTACATTGCTCCCTGCCTTCAGCACAGCTAAAGAACAAAAAAACAAAGAACAATGCCTGTTGTCACACAAAACTGCACAAAACCAGGGATTTGGACACAATCTTTGGCTGCAGGACAGGCCAAAAACTGGCCGCTGCTGGGCGTCTGCTGGCACAGGTCACCCCCTTCCCTCAGAGATACACTTGACTTGCGCACCATTCTGACTACTGTGGACAAGCCTCACAAGCCTTGCTTGATTCAACAGGAGAAGAGAATCTAAGGGTGCTGAAGCAAGGTGTCAAGGTGCTGAAGATACTTCTGCATCGCTTCCACTGTGATCCGGTCTTTGAACGGCACCTTTTCAAGGTCGATATCACCGGTCTCCTGCACATGGACTCTTTGCAGGTGGGTGTTTGTGACATGAAGGCTGAGGGTACCAAACTCGTCCAACCATGTGCTTTTGACAAACTAACAAGGTCAAACAAGGTTCCATGTTGTGAAAGAGTGGATCTTCCATGTACTTCTCGAGAACGTCTGGCCGCGGGGCACATTCGCAGCCCACGTGTGTAGTCCTCAGTTTTTGGAAGGTCACTTGCCACCCAGCAGAAATAGCAAGTTTGGGGTCATAAAATGTCACGAGTTGATATTAAGCCGATGCAGCCACAAGGCTGCTCCTTCTCCGGCTGTTGCACTTGTTGCTGATTAGCATCTGCTTCATGACCTGAATCAGAACTCTCAAGCTCCAGCTCTACTGGACTTGCTGGAAATCCTGTGCCTGATCCTAATCTCCATGGCCCTGCCTGCGGCTTCTGAAGCAGGAGGTACACCTTGACAGGATCAGGAGGATACACTGGGCACACTTGTGGATTCTGAAATCAGCTTGGCCATGTTCAGTCCAGGTGCAGTAGTCCCACATTCGACCCTGCACGCCCAGCGCATGGTTGCGCCCAGTTGGGTCTTGCGCAGCCTCCAACTTGCTGCAGGTCGGCTCCTGAAGAGGCGACATTAATTCCAAAAGTTTGCATGATTCCGTGAAGCCCTAAAGAATTCTAATGTTTAATTCCAAGGCCGCTCCTCCTCTGCCCCAATGCGGCACCATGTGAATGGCTGTCCCTGAAGGGCACATTTGGCAGTCGCATCGCCTCACAGTTTGACTGCTTGCCGAAGGGTATGAAAACAATGCTACACAAAGGAAGGACAAGAACCAGGTTAAAGAAGAAATGGAAAGTAATTGGGGCGATCTGTCTCTTTGATGTTTTCGTTATTCCAAGTCTTCCATGTTCATGTCAACTTTTGCCGCCATCTGTTACGGTGTGGCTGTGGGAGGCACATGCACAGCCACTGGAGGTTTCTGAAACAGGAAGTGGAGGAACCCCGGCTGGCGCAGGCTCCTGGCAGCGCCAAATTGATTGTCCCAAGACGCCCCAGGGACATGAGCGTGTCCTGCGGTTCAACATCACTCGGCTGCGGCTGTGGGAGCACATCGACGGACCAGGTGGCATCTTCCATGGCAGATTCCATTTCTTCTGCACTAGCCTGCCGGCATTTCAGTCAATTATACAATAAGCCATGCAAAGCCAAAACAATCCACACAAGTCAGGGCGTGTCTATCACACACCCTCCCACCCTCCTATGCTCAAGTCAGCACGACTTTTACCTCAGGGTAGCTGTCTCTTGCTCTATCTTGACCTTTCCTGTTCCAGGTCAATCAATTGCGCCATCTTCCACCCTCCTTTGACTCTGTCGCGCCCAGCTTCGAGGTCTCTGCACTTGATGCATTCCTTGGCTTTGCCGGTCTTGTCCTTGGTGAGCTCTACTCTCACGTGGTAGGCCAGCCGCATGTGGTCTTCCACTTGTCCAGCGGCATGCCCCGCCCAGCATTCGCCACTGTGTGCCTGATCTTTCCCCTGGACGATGTTGACGCTGGACCTCCCCACAGTGCATGGAGTGGCCTGTAAGGCTGATGTCCTGAATCTGGAGGTCGACGCATCGACTCTGACCTCACTCTTGGGCTTGAGCTCCTCCTCGAACGATGCCTCCTCCCACTGTCTTTGCTGTTCTCCCAATTCCTCCTCCTGTTGTGGTCTGACTCGTCGCCCTTTTCCTCTCCCACATGGCTGCGCCGCGACCCGTGCCACCATGTTGAAGATCTCCAGCCCGCCGCGAACGCCAGGAGCAGGGATACCCCCCATACCAAAAGCGTGCAGCGGACGTAGCAGCAAGGACCCATCTGCAGCGGCGCCCCCGGACCCCAGTGCTAGGGCCGTCACGGCTGATCGAAAAGACACACGTGAGCCCCCCCCCCTCCGCACCGCGAACGAAAGGCGGCAGGACTCGAGCGACAGATTCGATCGACGACGAGGTACCTCCGACCTAGGGGCCAGCTCGCCCATCAGCATCCTTTTCCGAGACTCGTCGCGTGGCTAGTGCGTGCGCCGCACCAGGTCGCTACAGCGACTCCCACACGTTTCCAGGGTGCTGAGGCAAGCCGGCCCACGGGTTGCACTAATCTGGGGCCTGGTGGCGGGACCTTGAAGTCTTCGAGCACCTGGCCCTTGAGCTTCTTGAGACGAATCCCTTGTAGCGTCTCGGGCATGTCCCCCCGCTCGTGTGGCCTTGAGAGCCAGTCCGCCTCCTTGTTGAAGGTTTGTGGGATGTGGTATATCTCGATCTGTCGGACGTCAATGGTGTCGAGGAGGCACGCAAGCTCTGCGGCAATGTAATTCAGCGAAGGCGACGGACTGCTGAGCTTCTTAGCAATGCCTAGGGCCACCGAACTGTCTGACTTGAGGATCAGGCCCTTGCACTGAATGCGGCGTTGCCACAGCTTTGCTGCCCGCAGGATGGCGTACGCCTCGCAAACCGCTTGTGACGAGGACTGCCCGCGCTCGACCTTCAACCACTGCGCTTCCTCCGGGGTGAACGGCTTCAACAATCTGAATCCGACCGGTCTCAGCGTCCTTCTTCCACAAGATGGCTCCGACCCTCATCGGAGAAGCATCCGAGATGATGCCCCACTTGGAGCTTGAAGCCGTTGGCGTCCAACATCGCAATCAATCAGTTGAGGGCGGCTCCCAACCTTTTGACTGCTGCCAACCCCACCTTTGGCCTCTGATCACCGTCTCAACTCGCTTTAGCTCCTGGCCCGATTCGATGTCGCGCATGGCGCCCGTTATCACGGCATAGAACACTGAAGTAGTCCACCGGAGTCGTGGAAGAATGCCTGCCATCCAAGACAGGCGGCCAGTGACAGCCCGGAGCTCCTTCAAGGACACCATGCCTTTCCCTGTCCACGACACTAGGGTATCATACACCTCCTTGCACCCACGGTGATGCGCCGGCCGTTCTCTGGCTTGCGAGTCTCAAAAAACCTCGAACTGTGTGCCGATCCACGTCACCCGTGTCCCCCGTTCGCCCTTCTCCAACGAGATCATGATGCCCATCGCTCTCATCGTGTACAGCATCATCGCCAAGACTTTGCATCGTTCTTCTGGTCGGCCTCGCATCGCGATCAGCAGATCATCGATGTAGATCTGTAAGGCCGCCTCGTCGGGCTTTACCATGCTCTGCAGTAGTCTGCCCAGCGCTGCGCTCAGCCGACCCATCAGCAATGGGGCTGCCTTGAACCCGAACAACATGGCCACCCACACCAACGCCTGTCCATCTCGGACATCGGTTCACCCCTCGTCACTGCAAAGTGACAGAAGGCATCCGTGAGGTCCACCAGGGCGAACTCTGACGTCCGTTGAGGATCTTCACAAACTGCGGGTTCATTCTCGTCCATCTTCCGCATTGGCTCTCAACACGTCACTCACCCTTGGCAGCACTATGTGCTCCGGCACTTCTGCTCGACTGTTGCCTCCGCTTCGCAGCATGTCTATGACGATCCTCTTCTTCACCGACCCATCCACCTTTGGTTTCAAAATCAGGGCGAGCTTTGACACTGTACCAATGCTGTACGCGTCCCTCGCCTCTGCCCAGGGCATCCGCCTGACAAACCCCTTCGCCTCGTACCTTGAGATCTCCTCTTCTGCTTCCCGCGGATGCTCTCGGATGCTCTTGAACCGAAGCTTAGTTCACCGTTTTTTGACACTCCTCGAACTCCACTTGCGCCTCCACGGACTGGATCTCTTGGTTCCTAGCCGGCGGAAAGACCCCCCCCGAAGGTGGGATCTTTGAAGACATTCCCAACGGCACACCCTCTCGGATGAATTGCTGTAGGCAAAGGTCTGGGTCTTTCGAGGCGACTTGCCAAGCGTGCCATAGTTCAGGATCTAATGGCGACTTGTACTCGGTGTTGGATCGCAACAGTACACCCTCCATCTGCACCAAGCCTCCGAAAGTCGACATCATCCTGTCCCTCCAACGCTTGCACAGGTCCTCGTCGAACTTGGCCTCCCTTCCTCCATATAGGATGTTCCGAGTTCAGCGAAGTCGGGCTCTTCCACGTAGATCTTCTCCCACTCTTCCCTCAACTTTGCGCCTACCTCTCGCACCAAAGTGAGGCGCTCCACAGCGAGGTCGGGATTCCTCATCCCACCGATCGACGCGTCGTTCTCTATCTCCCTCAACTCCTTCTTAGAGATCTTCGCCATCGACCTCGGCACGCCTTGCTCGTTCCACATCGTCTCGAGCGATTTCTCCAAGGCCTGCTTTTCCCGCTTTGTATCAGCGATGGAAAGACCACGAAGTTTCCGTTCTTCGCTAATAAGCCCTTTTTGCTGCAGGCTGGAAACCTCTGAGAACCTTCATCCTGACCTGATACCGCCAAAACTCCAAGGCGAGCGATTTCTTGAATACCTCAACCACCAATTTTGCAATTGCGTCGCACAATGGTTTTGGGTACGCAGCAGCACGCTCAGTCTTGGATTTGCCTTGTAGGGATTCGTGGCGGACCCAGTTCGGACACCGGCACGTTCTTGACAAAGTCGTCTGGCTTGTACCACCGAACTCGCTCCGTCTGGTACGAGCAGGTCGCGAATTCAACATACTGTGCATCCACTTCTGTCAAATAGCCTCGAGTCTCCGGAACTGCCCAGGCCGACCCGGCTCGATCGTCACCAGGCGGATTCTCTATTGTCCCAAGGGGCGGGACTGCTCTTGCCCTGCAGCTGCCAATCTGCTTCTGCACAAGGTGTGTGGTCTGCACCGCCATCAGCGTTCCGTCCGCCTCGGCCTGTTGCTCCGGGGTGTTAGTTGAAAGCCCATATATTTCTGCTCCGCTTCGAACTGGCGGTGGACGGTCCCTGACCTGCTTTGTTCCACCTGGCTCTCGAGAAAGACCCGCACGGGAATCCTCCGTTGACGTAATCGAAAGCCCCTGCGACAATGTCCTCTTCGATGAGTTCCTTGGACGCCGGAGTGCTCAGGTCGATCTCTGGGTCCATCTTTCTGTCCAGGGATGTCGCCACGAAGTTTAGCTTGTTCTTCTTGCATTCATCCTGCAAGCTCTGGGCCAGAATGTCCTCCGGCCCGCTGAACAAATGCAGGAAGGTGAACACTCTGTTATCCTTGTAG